GGGAGGAAAGGGAAGGGAAAAGAAAAAGCCACGTAGAAGAGCGAAATAAAACAAAAATGTTTGTAGAAAACCTTTTCTTGCTGAAATCTGCAGTAAAATCCAGATTCCTATGAAAATGCAAAGCTCATCTTGGGTCAGTGAGCAGCTGAGCTTTGCTATGAAAGGAAATCAATATTTTAGTTGACAATTGCCATGCTAAACACCAGTCATTTTCCGGTGCCACTTGGCTGTCATCTTCCCAGAGTAAATAAAGAAGAGCCTAACGCATATTCCCTCCCCTGGGGTTTGTGAACATGACCGCAACCGCACAACCGCAACAAATCAGCCGGCACATTCCGGGCGGCGGGAATCCAGGACACACGCCTGCCCGGGGAGCAGCGGCGCGGGGCGGCCGGTGTCAGCCGGCCCAGCCCGCATCCGCATCCCCGCCGCGCAACAATTTCCCAGCCGTGAAAAATGCTCCTGTCAATTCCATTTCTGACATAACTGGATAAAAGCCTCACGAACGCCCCCTTAGAAAGACTCCATTATTTTCCACGCAAATCCAGCCAGACTGAAAACAGACTCATTAACCTGTGTCCACAGCACAGCTTCAGTGACTGTGCAGACCCTACTGATCACGTCACAGGGTGTCACACTCCAGCCCCTTTTACTTCCCATTCCCATTTGGAACTGGAGCTTCAGAAAAGGCAGCATTTGCTCTATAAACAACCAACTTAAAAAAAATACCTTCCTTTACAGGTTGGTGGTCACCAGGGGCAAGAGGTGGGGGATTGGGCAAAGTGGGTAACGGAGGTCAAGGTACAAACTCCCAGTTATAAAATAAGTCGGGGGGACAACGTACAGCATGGCGAGTGTAGTTAATAACACCGTATTGCATTTTTAAAAGTTGCTGAGGGTATATCTCAAAAGTTCTCACCACAGGGAAAAAATATTCTGTAACTATGAACAGTGACAGACGTTTAACTAGACTTATTGTCACCATTTTGCAATATGTACAAAGAGGAAATCCTTATGTCGTACACCTGAAATGAATATAATGTTGCATGTCAGTTATATACACCTCAATAAACATGCCTTCCTTATATAGTAAACTGGAGCTACTTTCCTTCCTGTTGTTTTCATAATGTAATTTTTAACAAGCTGCAATTAAAGTCAGAAAGACTAACAATCTCATTGTACCATATTTTTATAGCTCCGTTCACTTTCCACAGTATACATGTCTTTCCAAATATTACAGAGCTCTATTCTATATATTTTATATAGTTTAAAAGTCACATAAAACATAATAAAGGACTTATCTTTTAACTGGTACATTTCCATATTACGCATGATTCAAATATGTCACACTTCTTAGCGAATTCATTCAAAGGGACTGATTTCAAAAGAAATCTACAGGTGTACAAAGCTTTTAAAAAGAAGGCTAGAAACAAACAGAACTCTGTAAAAATCACATTCCCAACATACACATTTTATCCTGAACTTCTAAAACAGTCACATCCATGATCAATCACTATGTTGCATTTGATCAAACACACATCTCATTTACGCTGCTGTAGAATGTCATGAATTTCAAATGGTCTCCCTGAAAACAATCTGATAAGGAAAAACACTCTGACGGTTATCAATAGAAAGGCCGAGTACAAACAATTCAGGCATTCTATGATTATTCAGACTTAATTCAATCTATTTCCAGAGACAACCTGAGTGGCTCTGTGACTAGGGACTGAACACAGTCTAAACTGCTTCCAATACACTCTGCAAATGCTTTCTGTTTCCACAGTGAATATACCTTTGTGACCGGCCTCAAGTTCTGACGGTCTACTTACAAATAAATCAAGAACTGCCCAGCAACTATCTGTATGACCAATTATTCCAAATCTACTTATTATCTCTGTATTATCAATTATAATCAATAACTATAATGTGGACTTTTAGGATCTATTAATTGAAGGGTACTTTGCAGTCTGATGCATCAAGGACAAGGCCCAATGGAAACATCAACAGTAAAACCAAAAGCAAAAAACAAAATATTTATGCGATCCTTAGGCTATTTTGGATAGAAATACACACACACACACACACACACACACATATGTATGTATGTGTGTATGAACATAAGTATAGTTTAAAAACCAGTATTTCAATGCTTACTTTCAGCAGATCCTTGGAGAAATCACCACCCTCATTGACCCCTTGGAGGTTTGCAATGAACTCCTGGCAGGTCATCTTCTTTCCAATATTCTGGAACAGAGGCAAATAATACATCATAATGACACATATGAAATTAAGATTCTTAAAAATGTGATTAAGCAATAGAAGATTAATTTGGTTTTACAAAACATGAACACACACACATACCCCAACATATGTATATATAAACATATAATACAAATTTATATGAGTAAGAAAAAGATGGTTTTTATGCTTTTAAAATTGTCATTAAAATAAATAGCAAAATTATGCCAAACCTTTATTTTAACGTAAGGGAAAAAATCCATGCTACATTTACATAAATAATATATAATGTAGTTTTTAGTGAAAAACATGGATAAAAATGACATTTTAAAAAATATATGTTTTTATTGATTTTAGAGAGAGAGGAAGGGAGCGGAAGGGGGGGAGAGGGAGAGAGAAACATTGATGTGAGAGAAATGACTATCAGCTGCCTCCTGCACGCCTCCCACCAGGGATCAAGCCCACAACCCAGGCATGTGCCCTGACTGGGAATCAACGGGCGACCTTTTGGTGTCTGGGATGGCTGACGCTCAACCAACTGAGCCACACGGGCCAGGGCAAAAATGACATTTCGAGCTGAACTCTGATAGCTACTTATTGCCTTTTTATTTGTATTTCCTACATACTGTCAAGAACTGTGAAAGATCTGAAATTTTAGCCTACTTTCAAGCTAACAAGTTAGTCTGTCACAATCTCACGAATGCTGGCAGGAAAAGTAACACTCCTGGGTCAGAGGCCCATGGATTTATTACAATAGAAGTAGCCAGAATATTAGCGTTTTCTTGCTGCAGAGCAGCCTGAGGAGGGCCAGCTGACACCCGCACATGCAGTGGGCTGAGACGTAGGAAAGGATCTCTGAGCTTGGGGAACCCGGGTCTTTGTAATGGGCTGTAAGCATGTCTACCCCTTTGCTCTAAAGGGAGAAACCAGCTCTTCTCTTCCAAAGCTATAAGCAAACCTACCACTAGCTTTGGAGTCACTCTATCTTCCATAGCCGCTCACTACAGAAATAATCTTGAAAAAAACCAGACCAGGACAAAGGCAACCAAAGCTTCTGTTCACCAAATGAAAAAAGCAAGAGTCTCATGGCGAATTGTCTTCAAACACAATTCCCAGCTGATTTAACGAAAAGCTTAACAACAACAACAAGATCACATTAATATTTAAATGTAATTAGAAAATCTAAAATACAAAAAGCGAAAAGAAACAAATAGGCTCACTGAGAAACTAATAAAAACACTACAACAGAGCATCGCCTCCTATGTCACCTCCAGTCAGCTGGTAAAAGCTGCCAGTTGTGGAGGACCTGGAGGTTCGACCTGGGCACCCAGAGAAACCTGTCCCGAGTGCAGGAGGGGTCAGGGCCCAAGCGGCCAGGTGACCCTCAGCACCGGCACGGCGACCCTGGCAGACACGGTGCCCCGAGAGGCGACGGTTCGTAAAAGACCGAGACGGGTGGGAGCGGCCGCGGGCCGGGCAGGGCGCCTGAGGACGGGATTTACCAGGGATGCGGCCCGGGGGCTGTGAGTTGCTGCTTTGTCATTTGGAAATGCTGTCCCCTCAGTATGATCTTTAGGATCTAACGAAAGACTATTTTTTTAATATCGATAGTTAATGTCCACATCAGAAATTCTTTTTATGTTTTAATCAAACTTACAATAAAAAATTTAGAGAACTAGGATACTAGTTTTTTCAAAATTCTTTGGGAAGATTCATTAGCAATATGTTTAAACATCACTGAGTCAAAAATGCTGTTTTAGGACACTATGCGTGTCTATTGTAAGGTGTGAATGAAACTTTCATCATTTAATTATCAAGAACTGTTATTTTTTTAACATTTAAAAAAAATGATAAAATCCCGTTATTTTGGTTTATAAAATCATACTTCGTAATGTCACCCCAATAGATTCAATTTAAAAAACTGAAAAATATATAATGAAATGAGAGAAAAAATTATTCCCCTCTTTTCAAAATGTGTCTCATTATTGTCCTCATCTAACTGGATTGACTGTAACTTCAAGGGCGATGTTAATTAAACACTGTATTTAACATTGTCCAGAGCCAGTTGCTTTTTCCCCTGACATCAGAGAGATTTAATTCAAAAAATAAAAACTAAATTCAGATTTACTTTATTTGCTTATTTGGCATTGCCTTTGTATACTTTCACAGTCCCCATACCATTGCCTACATTAGTATAAAGATGCCAATTTGACTCACTTGGACTTTGAAACAGCAGAAACAATTGGGGAGGGGATGGACGTGTAAATCCAGACCAAGAAGTGACAATTCCAAGCCTTTTGGTCCTCACAGGAAGGAAGCCTCAGCGCAACCCCCAACAATGTGTCCCAGCCTGCCTGACCAGTGCAGGGAATAAAGACAACCAAGATGCATGACTTTCTCTGGGTCAAAGGTGCCCAACAACTTCTGAAATACTTTATTAACTGAGGCTTTTTACATCTGCCGTTTATTACCCTTCTCTGACTCACTGGTCATTTTTCTAGGTACAGTTTAGGAACAAAAGAGCAAAGGGTCAGATTAGTCCATTTTGTGTCTCACTGACAAAATATGTTTAAATGCTCCCTGAGTTTTATACCATTTTTATCACAGACTAAAAATGAAGTCTTTGTTATTAAGAAACACTCTTTATGATAGCTGGATTTTTTTTCCGCTGGTTATACCAAACTGTATCAATTATTATGAAATGCAATTATTCAAACAAACACTGTCCGCTGGACAAAGCTAACTCTAATCACTGACTTTGTATTTCAATGATTCATAGGGAACACAGAGAAGCTCACACAGTCATGATTCTATTCATTCTCTTCCCAAACAGATTCATAACTTTGGCAAAAAGTAGACCTGCTCTGAAATAAATGCTGGCCAGCTGCCTGCCAAGGCAGAGCTTTCACAGTACTTTCTTATATCCTGAATTCCTTCCCACTGAAAGAATGAAGCATGGAGATTTGGAAAGGCCTTCTCGTGCACCGAGAGGCACAGAAATCAACGCTTCAAATCAATGCAACAGTTCTAATCAAATCTCAGATGCTTAATGAAAATGAATCTCTGGATTATTACCTTTCAAATCAAATGAAAATGAATCTCTAGGTCTTTACCTTTAAAATCAGGAGGCACTTTAAATTAAACCTAAAAAGATAATATATAAAACGGAAAATCCACAAAAATAATTATATTTGAAATTCTAAAATACCAGGCAGGCCCAAGTGTTAAATATTTGGTCAAATAAGGTACCGTCTTTAATGAGAGAAAATATTAATTAAAAAGTAAAATTGTCCTGTGCACTGAAGGGTTGCTGGTTTGATTCCCAGTCAGGGCACATTCAGGGAGCTCATGGAGGGCAACCAATAGATTTTTCTCTCACATCAATGTTTCTCTCTCTCTCACCCCTTCCTCTAAGCATGTCTTCCAGTGAAGATTTAAAAAAAAGAAAATTTAAAAACCCCAGAATGAGAGTTCATATCCCGAGACAAACTTAACACTATTCTCCAAAATAATATTACCATTATCAAATATATTTTCAATACAAAGAGCTGTTTTCTCCCTTTGTATTCTTTTAAAGATACATTAAATGTCTTTTAGAGAGAAATTCTTTGGAGGATTTATCATTTCTGAAAAACTTAAGATGTTTTAACACGTTCCCATTTAGAATGTTAAGTAAAAGGCTCATCGGCTCATCTTCAGCCATACCCTACCATGTTTGGGGGAGGGGACAGGAGGCTTCATGGACAAGGGCAGGAGTCTGGAAGAGACAAATTCTATAAATTTCTGTAAATGACCAGATAGGAAATATTTTAGGTTTTACATGCCACAAGGTCCCTGTTACAACTACTCAACACTGTCAGTTTGGTATGAAGATGTTAACAAACAGGTATGGCTGTGTTCCAATAGGACCCGAATTGCTTGATTTTTGCCTGTAGGTCATACCTTACCAACCCCTGATCGAAAATAAAACTAGAAGGAAGTGGCACTGTTACTGAGGAAAGCATCACGAGCAAGCATACAAATAGACTAGGCATCCTGATGTATTCTGTGCCTTAATTTCAGATTTCTTCTTTGTTAAAGTTATGGCATTTTTTCCCCACCCCAGCAGATAATCAGCTCCTAACTTCAGTGGTAACAACGAGAGCAAAGGGAGAAAGTTAAGATGGAGAGTTTCATTCTTAACAGAGTCATCTAGAAATCATCCAAGCTACCCTCCAAAACTCAGCAAGTGTGACCAAGTCTTTGAGCATGCCTTCCCCGACAACTGGGGAAATGGCACCTTCTACAAGCCCCAGCCAAGACTTAAGCTACACTCAGTCCTAAGGAAAAGCTGGTAATAGGCCAGCAGTCAAGTATTCACCGGGAAAGCACGTATTCTGACCTAGAGGTTAAAGAATTAGGCAAAAAGGTCCTAAAATTTCTCATTTTTAATAGTATAAAATCCAGAAGCTTTATGGAAAAGATGCTTTTGGAGAAACCAAAGCTCTCATGATCCATTTCTAAAATCTGGCTTCCTCAACCTTGGGATATTAAAAACACAGTCAGCATATTCTCCCACATGATAATCCCACCTTCTCCAACATGTTACAATAAATGGCGAAAACGCATACTACTGATGTGTCAATTAAGTTCTGAAGCTCTGCTGAAGCTCCTATTTTTCCTTTGTTTCAAACAAGTTTAATTGTGTTACACTGCCCTCTGGTGTCCATTTTTTTATATGCATGATTCGCGGGTAAAGTAGGATCCTTAGTAAATTTCCAAACCCAGAAGCTACAGCTGTGATGTTCAAAGTGTTCTTTCATGAACCCAATCGCAGAGCTAATGTTAGTGTCACAAGTACAACCTTTATGGATATCTGAAATATTACTGAGTTTTTTTCTGCCACTTGTGTAATACATTGCCATTGAAAGAGGAACCGCAAGGGGTATCAGGGAAAAATACGGCAACTGAAAATAATATTGTGATACAGTGGTTCTCAAAGTATGGTTCAGGGATCCTGATTAGGG